AATGGATCTAGTTTTTGATTCATCGTCGCTGACATTGGTATATGACATTATCTGGCTATTAGAATCCCCTTTCCTTCATTTTGGTGAGATAAGAGTATCTGTATACCAGAGGTGTATTCAGTGGTAGTATCAATAGTGGGCCTTTGTTTTGCTATTATAGAGATAAAGTTTCATATAAATGGCTTCCGCTTTGTAGTAGACCTATTGAGATCTGGATTCTGTTGTAGAGTTTGTTGTCATTCATTTGGTGCTTAAATGTGGAGTAAAAGGTGGGACAAAATGATCGAAAAGAATCAAGATATATGCAACTGGCTGATTTAATACTAATTAAGAATAAGTACGGAACAGCACAAGTACATTTTAACTTGATGATAACATGGAAATCAAAGAGAGAAACACGCTTGATTTACTACTATCGGTTTCAAATTATAGTGCGCGTGGTTGTTTTTTGAATAATTCCAGAATGGAAACAGCTAGAGACCTGCGGTTTTTACCATTGTGTAGAGGACATTTTTCTGCATAGGACTAATACCTGGTGACCTCTGACCCACCACCTGCAGGCGAAGAGTCACACCTATTTTTCAAAGACAAGGTCGCCAGTCCATGAAGAAAAGATAAAAGGAGTTGATCAATACTATGTCTAGAACCGCCAGACTAAGAGCTACAAGTCTGTGAAAGAATCAAATCGCTATCTCTTACTGTTCGAATAGGGTTCAGGTTTTTCCGAACATGTCGAACCCTCGCATTATGGTTATTTAAAGTTCTTTAAATAATCAAACGATAGGTTTTGAAATGCGTAGTTTCGCGTGGCAATGTTTTCCATAAGATTAGGAATCATTTCACGGTCGAAATACAAGGTCATCTTGAATTATTATATCACTGTCTGTTTTGTAGAAATTAGCTATAGAGCTTAGAACGCTCTTTTCCCATTTTCTGTTTCTGTAGGTCTGAAAAATGTAAACGCAATTTGTTTAATAAATGTACGAATTTATTTTAGCATGATGGTAATCAATAGTAACACTTATAGCGCTAATTATCATCTTCAGAATCATTGTCCGAATCCGAGTCTACTTCTATATCTTCATCAATCAATTCGCTTTCTAATTCTTCTGCACGAGCATCTGATTTTCGGAAAACGTTCTCGTGTTTTTCTGCTTCATGAAAATATCCAGCAGCTGTTTCAGGATCTAATGCACCCATCCATTCTGATGCCAAAGTTTCGACGAAGCTCAGACGAAAACTTGTGTTATTATCTCTCACATAATTCTTCATGTGAGACCAAGCGATTTCAATAGGATTTAAGCTGCAATGTTTGACTGGTAATCTGGAGTGATTAGAAAGAGATTAATTTTGAACAAAGCGGTGAAGGTAGTCAAGCTTTACCTCAGAATATTCACATTAAAAACCTTAGCAGCTTGATTCACGATGTATTGTCGTTCGGGCACATTTGAAAACGCATACTCGAGTAACTCCGCTTTGCTGCAAGGTAACGGAACGCTAATATTTCTAGCTTTGAGCCATTGAATCAGTTGATCTTTATTCCAAGCTCGCTTTGGCGATTTACTATCATCTGTTAAAGTGTTATGCCATGTAGCATTATCAATAATTAATGTTATTTTTGCAGATGGACCTTGAACAAGGGTAAATTCAGAGAGAAAATGCCAAGATCAAAGTTACCATGTTCATTTCTTAAATAAGAAGAAGTTCGAGAAATCCATTCAACGAAGTTTTCACTGTTCATTGAGTGTTCAGCTACACAGCTGAAAACTTGAGCTGTCGAATGGAAACCACTACGGCTAAGCAAAGCAGAGATAGCTATCCTTGCTCCTAAGCAAAAGAACTCAAATAAACAGCTAAATTAATAGAATACACCAGATGCGCACCTCGGGTGTCATTTTTCTTTAAACGACCGTCTCCTGTATCTGAATCTGTCCAGATAAATTTTTTTTCTTCTCCACTATTGCACCAGGTTTCATCATGGTAATAAATAAAGGATCCATCATTGCGAATTCTATCCAGCTCCCGGAAATACTTTGCTCTTTGAGCCATAAACGAGATGCGCTCCAGTGGAATCTCCACTTTAGCCGTCTGCCTATACTGGAATCCTAAGGGTTTCATCCACCTCCAAAGCGTAGCACGAGATGTAATAGGAAAGTCGGGTCTATCCAGCAATATCCTTGCTAATAACCGTTCAGTTGTTGGATATATTCTTTCTGCCAAACACAAATGGAAATGATACCCGCGTGAATGAAAGACTTCTGTACAACTTCAGTTTACGTCATAAAAATCTGTCTTACCGAACAAATTCTTGCTTACTTCTATCTAATTTAATTTTTTTCCGTCCGACGTGGCCTTTCTTTTGCGGAGATTTTGGAATTGATAAATTCGTTGACGTTGTATCGGGAGAAGAGGACATCGACGACGATCGAAGAGGACGAAGAGCTGGCTGAGCTTCAAACATTTCTTTCTTGAGATTCGTTACAGATCTCTTCGAAATTCCTAGCATTTCGACCAACCTATCATCAACATTTTACAGTAGAATCTGAGGTCCTGATTTCTCTTTCTCCACAAAATCAATAATTCGAAACATTAGTGTTTTGATTTCTTTTGAGTATTCCTTTCCCGTAGGCATCTAAAAACAAATTCGCAGATTTTTTAAACTAAGCTGTGCTACAGACAACTACACGATACTTGATATTATATCCACATTGATATCTGGTTGTTTTTTCGCGAAAATATTCATTCAAAAGCTTTACAACACCATGATGGACAAGATATTTGAATACTGTGTCGAAGCGCTTATCAAGATGTGGCATTAGTATTATCGGTAAGAATTTACAATGTTTCTTACATTTCGATTTTGAAGAAATAGCTAAATTATTATTCGATCGTATACGAAGTACACTTGAAAATCTTTTTAAAGAAGCTAGGAAGTCAAAATAAAATATCCTTTCATAAGAAATATCATCTAATCAGTGTTCATTCTTGAGACATTAGATAGTTACAGTGGCGTAGCCAAGGGAGGGGCAAATGGGCAATTGCCCATTTCATTTGGAAATTTTCTCATTATACTTTTTATGAGTAAGTTTTTACCCATTGAAGTTTTCTTTTTTCTGAATCGTTTATTTATTTTTGAATTAGATAGTAACTCTATTTTTATTCACATCCTCAGAGACTATTCTCTGTGTTATTTATCTTCCTTCATTTGAATATTGACGAATCGAAAAAAAGTTTCAACAGAATATAAAACTTTGCTTTGTTTCACAAAAGTTCTGTGTTCATATTTTGATCTCTATATAGTGGTCGATATAAAAGTTAGAACAGTTACACTTTTGAGTTTTCTTCTCGATGGTAGTAGTTAGGAAAAATTTGAAAGAACATTTGCGTAGCCAAAAAGATTCTCTATTGGAGATTTATAGACCTAACAACCTTCAATGAAATTACTTGGATGAGAATGTCTAGAAAATCAAGATCTTCAAAATCAGTTTTGTAGCATTAATTTGAAGTGTTTTTGAAAATCATTTTATGTGATAGAGCAAAATGAGATGTCTTAACTCTCTCTGACGTTCTTTTATTGAACTGCATTCAATTTACAGAAGATCCAAAAAACATCTTTCTTTCATTTTCGTAAAAAATTTCAATGATTTTGTCGTATTTGACGCTTTGGAATCATCTAGAAACTGAATGCAAGTCAATGAAAGAAGATGATGAAGAAAGGCGAGATGTTTCATTTTGCTCTATCAAATAAAATCATTTCCGAAAAATTTCAAATCGATGCCAGAAAACTGATTGTGGAGATGTTAGTTTTCCAGACATTTTCATTCAAGCAGTTTTATTGGAGATTTCAAGTTCATAAATTCCGATAGCGAATCCTTTTAGCTACTCAAATATTTTTTCGAATTCTTCATAGCTATTACCATTGAGAAGAGAAGCTTAAAAATACAACTGCTCTAAACTTTTATCGATCACTATATATAAATTTGATAAACATTGCTGCAAAATTCATTCAAATATATTTTTTCATCAAACTGTATTACATGAAAACTTTTGAATTTTTGTTTTTTTCCGTAATCATTTAAACATTCTTTTTTGTTTTTCACTCTAAAACATTGAATACAAAACCAAATGAAATATTATATTGTTTAGCTAATTCATATTGTGATGAGTTATGATCACCGTCGTTATTAGTAATGAATTGATTTCTTTCATTTAATTTGAGATGATGTTATGATTTCATTGCTTTGCTTGATTTATACAATTATAACAAATAATAAACAAAAGTTTTAGTGCATTAGCAAGACAATAATGAAGAGTAGAGGGAGAAAAAAAATAGGTGCACGTGTGTTCATTTAAAAGAGATTAAAATAGCAATCAGGATTATAAAAATAATGTTCAAGTTCAGAGTAAGTAAGTGTTCACTTATAGGAGATGCATTTCTAGCAAAAAAAAACGCTTTGTAAGACCGAAATTTTGTTCAAAATTGGTAGTGTTTACTAATAAAAGCTTCCCTGTAATTTAAGATGCCAGAAATACAAAATCAAAGTAGAATTTGTCTTTCTTTTTTTTTTATCTCTCGAAAAATTCATTTGAAAACACATATATTCGTGATCAGTTCATCACACTCTGTCTATCTATATATAAAGAAAACTCTGCTTTGATTTTATATTTCCAACAGCTTAATTAGAACTATAATCGATTAGTAAAATATATTTTATTATATATATATATATATACAAAATGAATATTTCTTATTTATCATCATTATCAACATATTTTTCGTCAAATATATACTACCATACATTTACATTTACGATAATTATTTAATCTTTGTTCGCAAATATATATTAGCTTTTATTAAATGAAATAAAAAGAATATCATGATGGAATCTTTTTATTTACCATATTTAATCAAATATTCTTTTTTCCGAATTTGTTTGTTGTCATCACTTTAAGGTAGCTTTTGTTTTTCGTATACTACATTTAACATACTCAATAGCACTATGTATGGACGGTTAGTCATAACATTGGCGAAATTGAATATACACCAACAGAAAGTGAACGAACATCACAAGATTATATAATAATATCAAAAAGTAAAATACGTTTACTTCTTGAACTTCTTACAGCGACTAGTATTGATGAAGAGAAATTAATTCGTAATCGTGTTTTACATTCATTATATTGTGTAAAAAAAAATGAATCTTATCAACGTTATTTTTTTCTTGAAGTCAATGAACAATCATGGCATATACATCCAATTGCTTCTGAAGAATCATCAGAATTACGTTATCTTCATTCTATAGAAAATCTATTTAATTATATCTCAAATTATGACAATAATACTTTTGTTTATGTTAAATTACTTCGAGGTACTAAAGAAATTATTTCAGTTCGTTTTAAACAGAAAAAAAATATCTTGTTATTTTTTTTTTTTTGTATTTTAGGTAGACCACCAATAAAAACAATTGACTGTAATGTTTATATGTTATTCAGAAGAACTTTAATTGGTGATAAAATTCCTATATGTCATGTTAAAGATCATGTAATATCTCTTGTTAATCCAGATCTTCCTGTTTTTAAGTTAAATTATCATTAGATAAATATAAATGTCATTCATTATTTGATATTCATAAAGCTGAACTTCAATGTATGCAATTATCACGTGCATTACTTTCTCGAGATGAATCAGAAGTTTATGTTACAATTGAAGATAACAAAACTATAGCTAATTATTTAAAATCAAACGATAATCAACTACAACAAAAATCATCTAATACAAATGAAAAACATATTAATGAAATTGAAATTATTCGTAATAATCAAATATCGAATCCTAAAACTGAAAATAAGGTTCATTTTAAACAATTAGTTTCAATAAAAAAATTTTCAAATAATGATAAAATAATTTCTAATCAACAAAAAATAATACTTGGACATTCAACATCGAATAAACTTTATCAAAATCATGATAAACGATTAAAACAAAATGAAAAATCTCATCAAATTCAACAAACAATTATTCAAAATAGACCAATTTTATTATCATCATCATCATCATTGTTTACTTCGACTTTCAACAATCATAGAAATATAAACTAGTTTTTTGTTCAAACAAAAATGCAAAAACAAAAGAATCGAATACTGTAAAAGTATTTTTCTTTTCATTGTTTTTTTCTTTTCATTGTTTTTTCTTTTCATTATTTTTTCTTTTCATTATTTTTTTCTTTTCGTTGTTTTTTTTTAAAAAGAAATTTTTCTACTAATCAAATATTGTTATTCATGATAATATGTACAATAGATGTTTAAATGAAAAAAGAAAAAAAAACAGCGTATTTGTGTAAACATTAAACTACTTGAACATCTTTGACATACGCCGTAAAGTTTGAAAAAAGTAAAGAAAAAAAGTGCGAGAACAAAAAAAAATTGAATATGGATCTTTTTCAAATGATGACAGAAAAAGAATTGCTTTTGCTTTTCGTTTTTGTCCGCTGAGTTTTCATTTAAATATGCCTTTTAAAACTTTCAGTAAATGAAATCAATAATTCACATTAAATCTTTGATGCAAAAACAAAAATCAATACATTACATACTCATTCTATTTCTTTCTTTTCAATAATGTAGATAAGTTTTGAGACATAGCCTCTGAGTTAAATATCGTTGACATTTTTGTTGTAACTTATTGGAATTTTCAGCATGCCTCGTAGTATCGTCGCAAGTCCTTGGCAGTAAGTTAACTTAAATTTTACATAGAATAGAATAGAACAAGTTTAGTTTTTGTTTATTTATTTAAGAATCAACGACTCAGATAGTGAAGACGAGATTTGTAATCAATATGATCTAAATATGTCAATGCTATCAAAACCATCAACACCGATAGTAAATTCAAAATACAAATATATATTTTCTCTCATCTTTTATTCAATTTTAAGGCTTTAACACGACGAAGTGAACCAAAGATTCTCGATTGGCATCCAATAGTAAATGAAGAAAAACCTAAAAGTACAATCGGAAAATTATTTTATTATTGTAATTAGTATTGTATTGAATATAGAGAAATTAGGTGCAAAAAAAACAGCTCCATTAGTTGGAAAAGTACCATCATTTTATCAACCACTTTATTCTGGACCATTAAATATACGATCAACATTATCATCATCTCATTCAATCTTACGACATAAAGGACAAAATAAAACAGTAATTATCAATATTTTTCAAACTCCTTCAATTCATATAAATATTTCGATTTTTCTGAACTTATTATTATTATTATTTTTTTTTTTGTTAAATATTTAGTCATTTCCTCTGACTACAAGAACAAGTTTTGATCCAATGTTATGTATTGAAGAAGATTTGAATAAATTTATTTATACAAATATTCCACAAGATTATCCAGAGTTTATACATTGTTATCTTCGACGTGATAAAAGTGGTATACAAAAAGGATTTTTTCCAACATATTATTTACATATTGAACGTCCTCATGATGATAAAAAGGTTTGTAATTAAAATAGAGAAAGAAAAACAAAAACAATTATTTTAATCATTTTCATTTTTAGATTTTGCTCTTATCTGCACGAAAAGTAGCTAAAGTAAATCAACAATCTGAATATGTAATTACAACTGAAATTGAAACTCTACATGAAAAATCAGGTGGTAATGGATATGTTGGAAAGTTACGAGAAAATAATCTGAAAGGTACAGAATATACACTCTATGATAATGGTACAAGTCCGAATAAAAAGAAAAAATCACATTCAGATGATAAAAATAGTTTACGACGTGAATTAATATCTATAATTTATGTAAGTATGGAATGATATAGGTTTAAAGTGTGAACGTAAGTTCAGAACAGTTGGTTTTTTTTTTACATTTTCTTCTCGATAATAATACCTAGCAAAATTCTGAAAACATATTTGTACAGCTGAAAGGATTCTTTATTAGGCTTGAAGACTCCAACAAAACTGCTTAAATAAGAGTCCGCAGAGAATCAATGGTTTTTTTTCTTCATCGAATTGCATTCAATTTATAGAATGTTCAAGAAGCATTTTGTTAAATTAAAAATTTTCATATTTTTGCCATGTGTGACGCTTCGAGGCATTCTGTAGATTGAATATAGTTCGATGAAGAAGGGTCATGAAGAGATTGGAGATATTTCATTTTGCTCTATCAAATAAAATTTTTTCTCAAAAGCTTCGAGTGGAAGTTCGAAAACTAGTTTTGAGAATCTTGGTTTTCCATACATCCTCATCGCAGCACTTATGCTGCAGCTTTCGATCCTACGTAACTTAAAAATACAGATGTTCTAAACCTTTATTCGCCACTATATATATGTGTGAGGAGGTGAAACACAGCCATGTTTTGTGAGAGAATGTTCAACTTTCGACTGAGACTAGATATGAAGCGCTGTGAAAAATATATTGATATATATTTATTGGATTACAAAACTGGGCACCTGTAATAGCTGCGGATACTCATTCTAGGTTGCACTTTTTGTTGTCAACTGGAATATAGCCTTTTTTGGCGTACGGATATCCATGGTTACTTTGATTTTTAATAATATAAGATATTTTAGAAATTCGTTTCAAACTCTATCTTTTCTTTGCCGCTGTCCAGTCTATATAGATATTCTTAAGAACTATAACTTATGAGACAACATGTTTCTGATGTTGAAATCATTTATATTTCAATATTCAACTGCAGATAAATTGAAATTCATTGCATATTCTTACAAAAATCTTCTTTGCGGTGTTCGAATGTATAGTGTACGTATATAATAGTTTACTGAAACTTTAATAATATGTTAAAGAGCATTGTATTCTTTGCTTAAAACCGAGTGAAACAAGCATAATTCGAATACAAACGCTTGATGAAAGAGATTTTTTATTTTCTTTTTCATACGTCAAAATAAAAACGTACCGAGAATCAATGGCCAAATTAAAACGACTGTAAAAATTTAAATGAATTTTCTCGATAGTTCTTCGCATAAAATGTTCACATTAGCCAAATTATCGATAAAAATTAACAAACATCTGTATATTGACTATCCAAAGCAGAATTCTTAACTAGTTTCGTGAAAATTGTGACGTATTCTAAAAGAACACAAAAATCGAATCTTTTTATGCATCATTTTTACTGTTGTGAAATATATGCGAAACAAGCCAATAAATGAATAAAGATTCCATCTAGAAACTTTTCAATACACTTCTATAATATTTGAAAGAGATTATTCATCATTTAACTCGAAAGTCTAAACTCACCTTAATCAGTATCTTTAAAAAACGAAATTCTAATGTAATAACGTAATATTGATTAATATTCGTTTTCTAGAATACAAATGTTCTTGGTTTCAAAGGTCCACGACAAATCAATGCTGTCATACCTCAAATCGGCTATGATATTCAGCCAACAAAAGTAAACTATATAAAATTCTTCATACAATAGAAATTTTCTTGTACAAATCTTAGGATGAGGATACAATTCTTGATCAATGGCGAGATAGACGATTTACGTATTTAATTCAATTACGAAATCGATCACCAAAATCAAATGATGGTAAAATAAAATCTTACTTTTTTTAAAATTTTATGTTTAATTTATTATTTTTCTTTTCTTTACTATTAATCAAGGAAAAAAAGGCCATACACTTGAATTTATTGGTCAACATGATATTCAAACATCCGTTAAAAATTTTCAAATGATTATAGACACTGAAAATTGTAAGTTAGATATTTATATACTTCATTAAATCTATTCATAATTTTTTTTTTTTGTTGTATATGTATAGTTCAAGAAGAAGTTGTTATGCAATTTGGCCGTGCTAAAGATGATACGTTTATATTAGATTATCGTTATCCACTTTCAGCTATTCAAGCTTTTGGTATTGCACTCAGTGCATTCGATAGTCGATTTGCACGAGAATGAACATATCTTTTTTTCCTTTTATATAGAAATATTTTGATATATAAATTTAAATAATTTCGCTTTACTATAATCAATATTCCAGCGAAAATAAAGAACAGATAATAAAACTTTTTTTGGTTTAAAAAAAAATTGATTTTTAATTTAATTATATGATGAAAATATTTGAAGAAGTTGCTGAACATGATACGAAAGACTTTAGATGGATTTAGAAATGATGGTAATAATTTCGGTGAAAGAAAAAATTTTGTAAATGCATAATTCTTCGTAATAATGAAACAAACTTAAATTTGTTTTCGAGTTGAATTAATAGTGAGAGAATTAGTTATAATTCATTATAGTACATTAATCTTTAATTACAGATTATCTTAGAACATGTAAACTGCCACTAACGTATGAGAAGAAAAGTTTTAGAAGTCGGAATTAAGAAAGTTGGACTTCGCAGGTCTCTACCTGTTACTAATATGTCACAACATCTTGTTTGGGTATCATGCTTAGGTACATGGGTACTTACTAAATACCTGTCTAGTTTCTATAGCATTCTATTGAAAAATTTTTCAAGAAATCAGTAGATTGAATATTTAGAAACACTTTATAATCAAATGCTAAAAATCTATAAAGTACTCAAAAGTTTTGGTGACATATTCATAGCAGAATACCTAAGCTGAGTATATTCACTAAAGGTTTAATGGAAAAAAAAATTGTTATGATGGTATGCTTGATTCAATTTTTTGTTTTAGACTAGAAAAAAAACATAGATTGACGGGTTGTTTTAAAATAAATAAACCAAATAAAGGAATGCTCACTGCAGATGATAGGAAGAAAAAATTCTATTTAATTGTATTTGATAGGAATAAAATTTACAAAAAGAGAACATTAATTAAAGTTGAAATTTATAATTGATAATGATATTCGATATGCAAAAAAGAGAAGACTTCACTATAGATATACATTTATAAAAAGATTTAATGATAGTATCTCATGTGATATTATAACTAATTGATCAATGAATTTGTCATAATGGATATTTAAATTCGACAATTAAATATTTTCAATCATTTATAGTCTAGAAATTTTTTAATAACTAAATTAAGAAAGACATTTTAAAACTAATGGTCCTTGAAATATTTTCAATATAATCTAATTCAATTTTATATTTCGTTTAACAAAATTTTATTAACATTCTACATAAAAATCTCATTTAAATAAATTTCGAATGATAAAAATCGATCAATTTAAATATTGTCTTTTTTTTCCATATGAAAATTTGATTAATATATGGAAAACAACTAAATGATAGGATTACGTCATATTATTCATCAGTTTAAATCGACCATACGTACACACACATGTCATTTTCATGATGAATTACATCATTAAATTATAAACAATTTATAAACATCTGGTATATATATGCTTTTCTCTTATTACTCATGACTAATAAGAAAAAGAAATCATTCATCATGTTTTTTGAATGTATCCACAAAAACAAATAGTTTTGAATAATCTGTGCCGGTAAAAAAAGATGGTGGGCTTTTTTTTATTGTCTTATAGCTCCCTCTTTCGTCTATGTATTTTTTTTTTATTATAAAAAAACATTCTCTCCAATGAACAAAGAAAAAAAGCCGAAATGAAATAAATATATGAATGAATCAGTACCAAATATGTTTTTTCTTTATTTTTTTGTTTATCGAATTACAATGTTTTTTTTGGGTCGCTATTGACGTTCAAAAACATAATTCATATTTATATAATTACGAATAATCATGTTCTTCTTTTTATTACATCATATCAATGCATTTAATAGTCCTGTTTTTTCTTTATATATTAAATCGATGAATACACATTGAAATCATTTTGACATATATGTACATATATATATATGTTCATTATGATCTTATCATCCGTAGACATTCATTGAGAGAGAAAGGGAGAGAAAAAAAATCAAGAGACATGTCACCATGTATATATCTTTGATCATACAACATTTTTGTCTCGAAGAGATAAGTAAAGTATATATTAATCATTTATTGTAGATGGCTGCAATTAATGTATATCATACGAATGTAACAACAGACAATCTTAGTCGTAATGATATTCTACAATGGATAAATTCAGCACTTGATGCTAATTATACAAAAATTGAAGATCTTTGTACCGGTAATTTAGTTTAAAAAATTTTTTTTTCTATTAAAATAAATCGAATATTTCATTCGATTAGGTGCTGCATATTGTCAATTTATGGAAATGATGTTTCCAGGTAAATTTATTCATTATATGCATGAATAGATCTAACAATTAGTGAATACTTACATAAAAAATTTTTTTTCTAGGCGCCATAGGTGCACGAGCAAAGCGGGTCAAATGGAATACCAAACTTGAGCATGAATATATTAATAATTTTAAAGTCTTACAAGAATATTTTAAAACACTTTCTGTAGAAAAGGTAGAATTTAATTTTTTTTTTTTTCTGTAGAAATAATACACACATACGCATATATATATATATTTAATCTCTCTTTTCTTTGGTGATTCATGCTTTGCTCATAGTTTTAGTTTAGACAAAAAAAGAAATATTTGAATTTTTTTATAGGTTCATTACAACTAAAAAGAGTGAAATTTAATGCCAAATTAGAACATGAAAATATACAAAATTTTAAAATTTTACAAAATGCATTTCGTGCTGTACAAGTAGATAAGGTGTGCATAAAGAAAAACCAAATAAAAAGAGAAATTGTGTATATATGCGTGTTTGTGTTTGATAATTTTCTTTTTTTTTTTTTTTGGTTTAAATTTAAAGAAAAAACAAAACAAATGATAATTTTTTCATAGATTGTACCTGTCGAAAAATTGGTTAAAGGAAAATTTCAGGATAATTTTGAATTTGTTCAATGGTTTAAAAAATTCTTTGATGCAAATTATACAGATTCTCATGATTATGATCCTTTAGCTGCACGTGATGGACAGTAAGTTACAAAATTCTTTTGGCTATCAGATTTCATAAAAATATAAATTTACTTTTTTTATTTTTATTTAGACCACTGGGTAGTGGTACGAAAGCTGTCGGTCCAGGAGCAACAAGTGGTTCGTCAGGCATTCGTGTACCACCAGCTGCTGCTACTCGACCACCACCAACAAAAACTGCTGCTCCACCACTAGTACGACCAACACCTACCAGTAAGTTTATTTAAATAGAAATTAACAAAATGAATAATTTAATCATTTATCAATTCGAATAAATTGGTTTTTGCTTTATCTTATACATTAGTCGCAAGAATGTATCTAAATTTTAATTCTTTACTTTCATAGTTTTATCACAAATAGAGCATGATGAATTCTGATCATAAGAATTTGATTGATCTTCATGTAGAGAAGCTAGAATGTTAGCATAGAAAATAAATCTCATGATGTTAGACTCTTCATTCGATAGCTCAGCATTGTTTCTATTACCGATAATAATCCCATGCCAAACGATTTTAGTTTTGTCTGATTTATGAAGCAGTCCTTGGATAATCTTGATATGATAGTTGATGAGAATTGTCGAAAAACTGCAATGGATTGAAGTATCCTATCTCTAGTACAATATAGACACGCGAATCTTTTTTTGTTGATAAGAAAAATGGAGGTGAACTCATTAAAATAGTAGAAAATCAAGATAGTGTCAAAAAAGCCTTTTGTTGGGTCCTAGGAAAAAAAAACCCAGTGTTTTCATCGTAAATCCTGTGTATTCAGGATACCCTTTCCTTCTTTTGGACTACTTCTGGGAAAATTTTGAAGAACGAGTCTTTAAAAGTCATCTGATCTGCTTACGACCGCAGTCTTCCTCTGCTTGGGCTGGAATTTTTTCTGAAGATATCTAGGACAAAGTCTCAGAGGTGTTTTTAAGCTTTCTGAAAAATATCAATTTCTCGATTTTTAATTAGAAAAATACGAAAACCACCAGCACAAAATAAGACTGGGGTCATAAGCAAGCCTGATGATTTTAAAGATCCCTTCAAAAGCCTTTAAAGAGCGGTTTTAAAATTTTTTCCTCAGATATCGGCTTCATCATTTTCGACAATTTAGCTGTGGTAAAAATTTTGAGTCCAATCGGCTGTACTCTCGTTGTGAAACAGAAGTGGTCCGAAGAAGGAAGGATAATCTTAAGAACGGACGCTTGTGATCAGAATTTACCGAGCTCTATTCGTAGTCGAAATATCAGACAAAACGATTGAAGTTTATGTACTTTTTATCCTGTGGTAGCATTTCTTGTAACTACTGTAAAACTTTTTTTTTTATTTCATTAGCAAGACCCATCCAACAACAACAACAACAACAACAACAACAACCAAAAGTTTCTCCTGCAGTCCATCGAGCACCAGCACCACCCGTACAACAACCTACAAGTGTTAGTGATCATCATCAAAATGTACGATTACAACCAGCTACAAGTGGTAGTGATCATCATCATCAAAATGCACGATTACAACAAGAAGTACGATTTTATTATAATAGAATTTATCGAAAATATAATTTTGATTAGATTGATAATTTACAAGATCTTATTCAACAACATGCATCACAAGTAGCTGGTTTAGAAAAAGAACGTGATTTTTATTATCAAAAATTACGTGATGTTGAAATGATTTGTCAAGAACCCGACTATGAATCATTACCATCAGTACAAAAAATTCTTGAAATACTTTATGCTACAGAAGTATGTAGACAAAAAAATTTAAATTGCTTGCATTTTGTTTTTGTTTAAATCGATAATATATATATATAAATTCTAAATTATCAATATATATATATATATATATATATTTAAAGGAAGGGTTTGAGATCCCTGATGAAAATGAACAGCAACAAAATGTCGAACAAGAATTTTAAGAAAAAAAAAATGAGGGGTGTGTTGATATACTTGTTTGTTTATGTATTTTTTGGATCTTTGTCACTTTTCTGCTTTGCATTGTTTTCTGTAAATGAATTTAAATAAGAAATTATATATTAAGATTATTTGTTAATTTTAGGAAGGTTTTGCGCAACCTGAACAAGAAAATGGTATTAGTGATTTTGATAATGGAAATGGTCTTACTGTTGATAATGGTTCTAATTTTGTCGTTGGTGATGAGGAGACATATTAAAACAACAACAATGTTGCTGTTTGAGAGTTTTCCTTTTCTTTTCTTCTATTTGCATTCGTATCCTTCATGGTTTTTTTCTTCTTCTTTAAAATTCAATTTTTTTTTTCTTGTATGGTGTAATCATACTTAATTCTTCATATTTTGGTTGTTTCTTTTTCTCGATGAAATAGATACGCGCATTTTTCTTTCTCTCGAATATTTGTATCTTGATGTATGTGTGTGTGTGTGTGTGTGTGTTTATGCAAATTAATACAACCAAATAAGAACATGTTTATTACATTTTGACAATAATGTATGAAATCGTTTTCAATTTATTTGACTTTTTTTTTTTTTCCAGTATATTTTATTAATGGTAAACAGATGAAAAACTCTACATAGAAGAAAGTTTCTGTTGTAATTTATGAACTTATTAGAATTTATTGTCTAGTTTAAAAATTCATTAAATTAAATTAGATTGTAATTATGGTATGAATAGATGTAAATTTTATTCTATAGTGATTTATTCGTATTAATTATAAATATTTTCGAAGATTTTTGTAAAATCGACTGATATAGTAATAATTTTTTTCGTTGACATATTTGCATTTTTATCATTGGAGAAAATTTTCTTCTCAAGTTAATAATTTATAAATTATTCTTATGTATGTGAACTCATATCGGCGCAATTTAGATCTCAAAGTTTGTAAAACCAAAGATACAATTTACTGTAAGCTCTCTTCCCAAAATAAAAGATTTTCGTAAATTAATTAATTCATTGCAACCTTAAAGCTTTAATTAGTATATGTACATCAAAATATGCCTAATTTTCGGGTTTTCAACTAAAAAATTGTAAAAGACCGAGGTCAACATAATCTCTAGATGTTTAAAACCTTAAAAATATCTTCCCGAATTCTCAAAATCTTTTTTGATTTATTTGAAAAACTACCTCCAGGGTCTTCTATTACATGGAAGGATTTATAGAGTTTCATGAAATTTCAATTTTATGTTTCAAAATAATAGAAAAACAACATGAAATTGTCCTGATCGAATTCAAGTAAATGCAACTTCACATTAAAAAATTAGATAAGAAAACTGTAAATAACTGACAACTTTTGATTTCGACATATATTTCAAAATACTATATCAAATAATTCATTATCTCTTCTCTAAGAGATATTTTTTTTATTCGATTATGAAAAGAGTTTATATAGATTTCTTTTTCATAAAAAGAATTGTATTCTTTATCTTTATTTAAAAAAAAAAAAAAAGAAGAAACCGATATCAAAATTTACAATTAATCACAAAATTAATTTTCTTGTGATGATGATTGTGCGTATCGAACAGTTCGATGATGATATCGTCGTTTTTCTTTTTCATTTGATAATGTTGAACGATTTTGTGATGTTGAACGTAGTCTATTTAATTTCCATGTTAAATTCAATCGACCACTTAAACTTGTTTTATCACTCCAACAAACACTACTTTTTCTACTATGTGTAACAGAAAGATTATCATCAATAAATGGTATCGGTTCATCATCGTCATCAAGACGTTCTTTCATAGCTGTTTCAATAGTACTATTAAAATATGATGCATGATTTGTTGGATAATGATAAAAAGATGTTGGTGGAGATATATTTTCTATAAAATTTGCATTTGATTTTTGTGAACTAAGAGTTTCATTATTATTACATAATGATAAATTATTTTCATCATATTCATTAGTTAATTGTTGTATTGGACATGAAATTAAAAAACTAAAATAAAAAAAAAAAAAGAAATGTTTAATAAAACAAATTGTTTTTTTTTTTTAATTATTAAATTCTAATTTACCTATCATCTTTTTTAGTTGAAATATTTTTTTTAAGTTTATTTTTATTAATTTTCTTTGTTGATTGAGATCTAAAATTTAAAAAAAAAAAAAGAATTTTCGAATCAAATATATTAACAAAGAAGAAAATTAGGATTATCCTTGATTAGTTTTATTATTTGTATACAATCTGAATTATGGAAAGATAATTAGAATAAAAAAAAAAAGAGATTTGTAATTAACGAACATATGTTGAAATCATTATGACCTTTTGAGAACAAAAGAAGAATAAACACTTACGTTCTTCTCATAAAAATAGTAATTAACATAAGAACAACAACAATGAGCACAATTAAAGCAAGTAAACAAACACCATATAACCAAATTGAATCTAATGGATTTTGTTCTAAAACGTTGGATGGTAAATTAATCTAGAACAATAAAGAATAAATTCAAGGTTCTCTTTTTTTTTCTTCTTCTTCTATTAATCGTTAAATAAATCATACATGATGTTTTATATCTTGATAAATTTCTTGTTGATTGTATTTAAGTGCTAGTAAAAATTGATCATTTGTTAAAGCTACTGTTTGACGATAAGGGTCTTTAATAAATATTGATACATATAAATGATGATTATCTAATTGTTCTTCATAACTTTGTATAATAACATGATCAGTTCTATTGTTAATAGCAAAACAAAAAAAAGAAAAGATTTCAATTAAGAAATTAATAAAAATTTTAAAAAAAAAAAGCAAAACTACCTAATCGAATCTATATCTTCACTTAAACAATGTTCTTGATATTTTAAACAAAAATTACGTATAATTTTTGCTATACTTTGACGTAAATTACGGTAAATTGTTTGCTCAAAATTTTCAATCGTCGTATTTTCAATAATCAATGTTACGCTACCACGAAATGCATATGGCCATAAATGAGTGATTCTCGTGTTATTCATTGGCGTTGATATATGATCAAACCAGTTAGACTGAAATATATGTACAAAAAAAAAACAAAGTAAGAAAGAAACTTGCTACATTATAAAACGATAAAAAACTCACACATGATTCATTATACGTTTGACTTTTATTATTTTTGTGTACGTTTGTGTCGATTATGAAACAATGATCTAAGAGGCAAAAAAAAACACAAATAATGAAAATTAATGATTTTATTTTATATGTACTTACGTAAATTTTTATTTTGAATTGATGAAGTTCGAATATTATAACGTAATTTTATTGAATTTTTTGTTAATGATTGTAATTCGATTTTTATTTTTAAACTTCTAATTGAAAAACGTAAACCAATAAGTGATGTTATTCCTTTTGTTATTATCAAAGATGAATTCAATAAAAAATATCCACTATGGTTAACGTCTGAAAATAACAAAAAAAAAAAAAGAAAAGAAAAAAGAAAAAAGAAAACATAAATGACTATAAATAAATATTCAATGGTCATTAAAAATGAGCAATAAATCGACTACATTAGAAATGCATTTTACTTCTCTTTCACTTTTAGCTGTCTCGACAGATGGACAAAAGAGTATAATTATCGTTTTTTTTTTCTTTCTGTTCCTTGTACGATTGATGAGAAGAGAAGTGAGAATATTGACACGTTACTTTTTACTATTGAAACATCATAAATCGTAATGACAGGAGAAAGAAAGAGAGAGAGAGAGAGAGAGAGAGAGAAAAAAAAAGAATCTCCTATTCTAATACCTTTAATCAGAATACACGAAGTATCGTCATTGACTTAACATATGCAAACAAAAAAAAACCAAAAAATGCCGCTGGTATATATCCACATATATGGAGATGTGTACTTTCTTTTCAACAACTTTAGAGATGGATCAATTGAAAGCCTTTTAAAAAAAGAAAACCATGAACTCTATAGATTCATCGTTAATAGAACGAGAATATATAAAACGAAAAAAAAAAAAAAAAAGAATGAAAATCTTAATATTTTCAATAGCGAATCTAATGGATAATAATTATTATTTTAATTGTTTCACATTTTAATGATAAAAATACTTTTCTTTTCTTCTTCTTCATCAGATTATTCATTAAAAGAAATACGTAATTTTTTTTTCGACATAGAGATATGTTACATGAATAGAATGAATTGTAAAGTAGAATAAATATTTTCTTATATCTCAAGTAGTTCATTCGAATAAAAGAAATAGCAAAAAAAAAGACACCTTGAAGTTAAACGTATTCATTGTAGTAAAGTTTGCATATAGACAAAACAATCATATGAACAAACAATTTAGAACAATATTGCAAAGTTTGCATCTATTTCAATTTGTCATAGTGTGTTAATACAGTTAGTAGTATCGTCTTAGAAAGTAAATAAAGATAAACTTTTTTCGAACTATGTAACTAAAATATTAAGAATATATTTACGATTAGAATCTAATCTATCTATTTATACATATGATTTTTCAAATAATTTCTTTTATTGTTAAATTAAGTTTTTAACATGACGTATTTTATATTAAAAAATAAAATGCTTGACGTTTTATATTTCACTTCGTCATTTTAATATAATATGTTCTTGTAAAATCATATATCATTAAGATATATGATTGATTCTTTCGTTTATAATGATAGTACAGATATCTTACAATGTACTAATACAAAACATATTTTTACTAAGAAACTCAAAGAAAATAATACAGAAAATTCATGATTGTTTACAATATTTTTCTAGGACTCTCATAAAAAAAAAAAAAGCAATTAAAACTATACAAGAATAAGATGTCGATATGGTCATTACTCTTATACTATCTTTATTTTTCAATCTTATGATTAACTCTGACATTGTCACGCAAACAATATTCGTATTACGGTCTACTTCATCTGAATTATGCACGATCAATTCTTTTTTTTTTGATCCTAATATTGAACTTAAAGTAGTTCTCTATTAATGTTCATAATACAAGAATTCATTGAAATACTAATATCCTTCACTTTCAAGTCTTAATTAATTCTGAAGAGGATTCACGTTTTTATCCTTGATTCAAGTATTGTTTACTTTTGCATATATGGCTTCTCATCATACGCTATTCAATATTTACCCCCTGTTAAGCGATTTTCTTTTTACCTATCTGACGTAATAATACATTGGATTGAGATAGGTTCCACACATTGTGTAGAGAACTTCAGGAAGTTACAAATTTGAAAAAAAAAAAGTAAACATTTTTTACTTGATCGATTTACGTAGAGTGATTATTCTGATGTGTGTAAGATTGATGTACATTAATACGAGTATAATCTATTTCTAGAGTTATTTGATTCTCTATATAGACTCATAAATACTTTATTCGAATGAATAGCTAGTCAAAAAGCATTTCATAGCCATTTTAAAATAAAATCTTATTGATAAAGGATAGAAACCTGCTGCTTCTGTCATGATCTTCGGTCTCGACGAGATCTTAACAATAAGAATGAGTAATTTCAAATCGGAATCAGAATCAACGATTTTATATTACAAAAAAAAAAAACATGAAGGCTAACGAATCTGGCGCTAGTCTGAAAACAAAAGAACTGATAAATGATCACCTTTGGAAACATCTGACTGTATACCATCGGTCGAAATGACTTATTTTTCGAAGAATAACTCGTGGTAAATTTTCAACTTTATACATATAAAATAACAACACAACTACGAAAAATCGTAAAAAAAATCAGATTAACTATAAACTCAATTTTTATATCATTCAAGACAAATGAGTCAGTTTTAATCCATTCTACATCTCTATAATGAAATAACTTCGCCCAAATTCAATTATACCGGTATTATAATTAGCAATTGCTCATAAGGTTTACTCAACAGCAACTGCACTAGATTAATGCTAGAAGGTAAAATATACCTACGAATAGCGCCAAATCTACAAAAAAAAGATAGCGTTCGAGACAAATGTCATACGGACACCCTTTCTGGGCTACACTTTTTGTTTTCAATTTGAATATAGTTTTTTCTGTGAAGACGAACATCCATGATTACATTGATATTTATTTGTAAAACATCTTGTATAATCAAAAAAACAAAGTAACTATGGATGTTCGTGTTCATAAGAAAACAAATGCTATATTCCAATTGAAAACAAAAAGTTTGTCAGTGCAACTCCTTTGAGACGAAAATATGGAACTCACATGTGTTCTTTAGCCTCATTATACTAATACAAAATATATCAAGTGAAAAATTACTCCCAGACTATATTTGTTTTTTAAGATAATCAATCGATACGGAAGGATTGATCTTATTTATTTCTGCATTTCAAACAGAAATTTGTTCTTCTTTTTATTCATACTCTATTTTTTGTTTACCTTGTTGCATTTCTTTTTCGTATTCCATTTTTCTTAATCTAACATTATTATTATTCTGTCTTTGACATCTTAAATATAAACTTTTATCTGCGCAAAAATAAAAACCTACACTATTTAGAACATTCGCAAACGTATTCCAACTTTGACTTAATACTTACACTCATGATGCGCTTCAAAAATATATACGAGTTCCACAAAAGTGCAGTCTAAACTGGATGTCTCAGTGATATTCATTTCGAATTCTATCTTTTTTTGCAGTTTTGCCGGTGCCCGCAGTTTTTAGAAGTATCCGTCGAAGCATAGTGTATCTTTCCGCGTGATACGCGAACATGTGACTATCTCGCTCGAAAATAGATTTCTTTGCTCGGAAAAGATTTTATAAGAAAAAAAAAACACATTTTTTGAGAAGAAAAGTTTTTCAAAGAAAACTGTCTGAGGAACTCTTGCCATCGTTTTTTAAGAAAATTATTTTCTTCAAAATTGTTTTGTATTACATATCGTTCGAAGCAGTTTAACCCTTTCAGGGCGGCATTATTTTTTTGAAAAAAGAAACAAAATTTCAAGAATCAGCTGTAGGGAACTGCTGGTCCTTCCAGACTCGTGTCCAAAGTTTTACTTTCTTTTGTTGGGACCGGTTACACATTTTTGTAGACACGGTACTCCTCCAATGAGAAATACAGCAATAAGATATAACTGTACGTTGAATCTTTTTTCTGAGACTACCGAATAAATAGCTAAAACCTTGATCTTTTACTTGTTCATGTACATGAAAGCTAGTAGATATCGATGAAAAAAAACCTCGGGTTTGGATTCGGCTGAGGATCGGATTCACTAAAATGTGGACACGCAGCTCCATAATCAACTGATTCCATTTTTCATTCAAGTTTATTAATATGCTTTCAAAGTATGATAGTCTCGAAAATAATTTGCCATGCATAAGCCTACATTGCAATCTAAGCATTCATATCTGTTGTAAGTGTGAGTGAGTGTTTTCTTCTTCATGCACATTCTTCGCATCTACACTCTCACATTCGTGTACAAGAGATAATAAATCCGGAAGATACCGTGTGATAGGCTAATACAGGATAGAAAATGGGATATGATCAAGCAAACTACGTTAGATATATATCATTACAATGAGCATGCTCTAACACATACACAACTATTTCCGATTGTCAATGCATAATATATTTCATTGCTAAAAAAAACAAGGCTGTAGTACATATGATGTGCCACCCGTCCTGAAAGGATTAATGCGCTCATCTCGGATATACTATTTTTTAGTCAATTAAATATTTTTTCAAGGCCAGAAAAATACTTGAAAAAATCAAAGTTTTTCGGAAATCCATTGTGCAATTCAGAAATGTTTGCACTAACAGAGATTACAGATGGTAGATAGAAGCTCATTCTGACAAAGTTTGGAAACGTTTGAAGGGTCCGGTATAGGTGAATTACTCATTTTACAAGACTAACCTTTCTTTTTTCTCAGAAGTTAAAAGTGTAAAGTAAAAAAAAAATTTTTTTACCATTGTATAGAGCTTGAATTTGAGATTCAGAAAATGTATTTGATTTGTCTATTGAACAGTTTAATTTTGTCATATATCAATTTTCTTGATGTTTTTTTAGGCTAATTTTTGGGCAAATAGTCTTTCAATTTCTTTGATGATTATAACAAAGTTTTTTGTTTTTTGTAACATTAGATAGACTATATTTCATTATATTAAAATCATGAAAAAGTGTGATTTTCATTTTTAACTAAATGTTCATCGAGATGCACAGTGAAGGGTTAGGTAATTACAAAAACTTGGATGGTGTATAGTAAAATGAATTGTACGAAAAATTTTTAACTTACTTAAATCATATAAACGAATAAGTGTACCATTATCTGCATTAATTATAATAAAATCAATTAAATCAAAAATTTTTAATTGTATATCAATATTATAATAAGCATAATTATTTGTTTCAATTATGTCTGAAGTTTTATTTATGATAATATTTTGATTAGATTTATTTTCTTTTTGTTCATAAAGAATTAAAATAAAATCTGAATTAATTGATTCATTCTGTGATTTATAACGAATATCAAAATTTGAACTAGGAATATATATTAATGAATTATTCATTGAAAGATTAACATCTGCTGTTGTTTCAAGTAATAAATTTTCATTTGAAGAAAATAAATTTGCTAGAAATGTTGAATTTTTATATTGTCCATCAATAGTCCATATAGAATGCTATGAGCCAAAAGACAAAAACAAAAAAAAAAACAAATATAAAAAAAAAAGAACAAAAATGAAATTTTATGTTTTTACCGATTGATTTTGTTTCCATGAAATATAATGAAAATCTCCAAAATAAAAATATGTTTTTGATATTTTATGAAGATTAATACGAAATAATCGTTTTTGATTATCAATCGATAATAATAATGATTTATAAATAATTTGAAATGAAGATTTTAAAGTAAATAATATATGACTAAAACGATTTAATGATATTTTTTCTAATAAATATGTTTTCGTAATATTTTCATCTAAAACAAAAAAAACAAAATTTTCGATTATGATTATTTTTTTCAATAAAAATTTTACCTTGACGAATAATTAATTCAGCTGTTGTATCTCTATCGAAATTTTCAATATCAAAAATAATTATCGAACTATTATCCATAGAAACTAACCATTCAATATGAATAAATGGATGCATTCTTATCGATGGTAATAATACCATATGAGCATTTTTGAAAGTTATTTTATTAATCTTTGTAACTATTCAAAATAAACAAAAGTAAATTGACAATTTAGATATAAAAATCAGTCTTATTTCTCAATCAATAATTTTAATATTTATATCATAGTTATTACATATCTCTTTCTGAACTTATATTAAAAAACGATAATATAAGATCAAGTAATAGACTTTAAAATTGTTAAATAGGACTATTACATTATAGTCTTTTTGAATAAATTCGAAAGAGTAAATTTTAATTTTTCAGTGAAAGATGAAAAAATTATAATAAGAATCAATCTTTCATTATATAAGTTTTCTTTTTTTGACATGAAATAAATTTTCAATATGAGTATTTAGTTGAATCGATATTTCAATGGAGATATTCTTATGACAAGTGAATCAATAATCATGATACTAATGTACATGTTATTGACAATGCCGAATGATTCAAGAGACTTTAAAATAGACAAAATTATATATTTAAATAAATAGCTGACACAAAAGTCTTTGATAAAAATGTGGATATTTACTTCTCAGCAATCAAACATGAAGCAAAGTCTAGAATGTATATACAACACTTTAGATTGATATCAAACTATTCAATAGAGTAGAAAAAAAAAATTTCCATTTACTTTACATAGCTTTTCTAACTAAGACTTGAGAAAAGCTCTATTCGTAGTTATATTTGATTTGAATTTTGAACAGATCATACTACAAGTTCATCGATAGATAATACAGAAAAATCAAGTTGCAAAGATATTTTAACTATTAATTCACATTGGAATTTTTTTATTATGATTTACTGAAAGTAAAAATTTTAACTATAATCTTCAGACTTTATTCTTTCAAACAAAACAAAAAAAAATAAGTTCAGCTAGATCTGATGTTTGAGTTTCAAAGATTATTTCATTGATTATTATCTATCGAATTACTCATTCACTTTTTTCTCGTTATTAGATAATTCTCGACAGATGTTCTTTGATTAAAATAGATAAATTATAGTTATAAGATTTAATTTTGAATAAAAATATCTTATATTTACTTTTCTTAAATTTTTCAATTTGAATATTATATTTAACTAATATCCAAGAAAATTCTGGTTCAATAGATATTGTACATGATCCAATATGATGATATACAAATGGAAATTGTTCATTATTACATATTTGTATTGTTTTAAATAAATCTTTTACATAAAAACATAATCGTCGATCTTCAACAACTTCAAAAGATTGGAAAATAATCTTAATACATTCATCATCTAATGCTTTGATATGCCATATATAAGCCTTTATAAGAAAAACAAAAATATATCCACAGACCTGAATAACAGTAGCCGCTTTCCATTGAAGTGCTAATACTATTCTTTATGATACTTTTGGGTGCATACAATGCGACAATAAACTCTGATCGTGTACGTACCAACACGCCCTCCATTACTTCATATATACTATAGTTATAATTCAGACATTGTGTTTCTCTTGTCAGGACTTTATATCAACCGTGTTGGTACAAATATTTTCGTCCAATTTCTCATTCGAAAGACTACTATCGTAATTATTTCTAGTTCGGATTTTTTAGTAAGATCGATCTTTTCCACGATGACTTTGATCAATTGTTTTAGTAGAAAATTCCCATGAGACGATCAATGTGTGAAATCGAGTTACTGCCACGACATAGATTTACTATTTCAGAACATGTTTATTACTAAGATCTTGCCCATGTATCACGGGCTTTGGTCATAATAAAGTACAATCTACAAAAAAAATATATTTTCTCGGAAATAGACAAAAATAGGTTTCCGAGCAATCGGAAACTAATATCGATTTTCAGACTGATCCCGGAAGCCTTTTAAAAGCTTCCAAAATCAGAAGGAAAACTTACTTACACCTTTTTTTTTAGAGGTTAGTTGCACTTCATAGACAGTGGCTACTTTTATCCAGGATTTATGTTTATATATATATTCATTTTTAAAAAATTCCTACTTGTGTTAAATTATGATAAATACTATTTGTTGGTAAACTAATTAATCGATAAGGAAATAATCTATTATCATCTAAAATTTGTGTATATGGTTCGGATGAAATAGTTGACCCTAGAAAGAAAGAAAGAAATTAAAACAATAGATATTATTTTTTTTTTGTTTTCGAAAATTTTACATTGAATTGTTTCAGAATAAAATAAACGAAATGTAGAGATTCCTAATGAAAATTGACTGGAATGAAATCGTATCCAAAGTTGACTATGATTTGCAATAAACCAAGTACCTGGTAATGTATCTATAAAGATATTTCTCACTAAGAAGAAAAAAGATAAATTTTTCAAATAAATTTAACCTGATATATGATAAATTTGATATTGATTTGGATCATGAAAAAGACCAATATCAATATAATTTTCTTTATTATCCCAATTTAAATAATCAAAACGTAAAAAAATATTTTGTCCATCATCAACTTCAATTAATATTAAACAATCAAATGATGTAAAAATTTCATAATGAAATTCAATTGTTCCATTAAATGATGAATATATTTTTCCACATGGTAAATTTTCTAATTGATTTTTTTCTTTAATAGAAGTTTGATTTAATTCTAACTTGACATAATTATTAAAATATGTTTAAATTAAAAATTTTTTTTTTTTTTTCTCTACATACTTTGATATGTTAAATTAAAACCACGATATTGATAATCATCATTTGAATGTTTTGTTCGAAGAATTAATTTTGTTTCATTTATTGTTTGTAATCGAAAAGATTTTGGAATATTTAATGGATAAGTAGTATCTTCGTAAGCGAAAAAAAAAACAAAAATTTCCTTTTTTCAAATAAAATATAAAAATTTTTTTCTTTACCTGTTATAATTTGTAAATAATCATAATCATAATCAAGATTTATATCAATAAGATTAATTTTAATTTCATTTGAAGAATTCATATGAATAATCCATGTATATTCAATATTTGTTCGTAAAAATTTTGGATAATATTTTGAATGAATTATTCCACTGTCTTCATATATATTCCAAGTATAAATTTCTAATACAAAAAAAAAGAAAACACCTGTTAGTGCAATTGCTGTAGGATTAAAATATAAAACAAAATGTAGTTACTGTTGTTAATCACAGGAAGATTCGTTTTATTCTATCTATTTGGAACATATTTCTTTTACTTAATTCTTCAGAAATACAATAAACGAGTAGTTCATATCAGGGATGCATCAGTTTCAGTAACTGGTACTTATTTAGTTGGTTCAGCAGCATTTGATTTTTTTTTCAAATCAGTTCAATACTATTGGTACATACTTAAATAGTTATCATACAGAACATATTCTTTCCTATATAGAGATAAGAAGTTACCGTTACCATGTAATGGAAATTTTATGTATTTGATGTTTTTACTAAAGAAAAGCTTTTTTGGAAAAGTAACGAATTTTTATAAAGTTTGAGCAAAGGTATTCGGGATTAAGGAATCCAAAGCTGTAATTGGTTTCCCAAAATTATGTACTTGGCTTCTCGGTCAAGTTACTTCTACCCTGGAGGCTTTTAATAATACTTTATAAAAAATCACTACTTTCCCAAAAAAAGTCTTTCTTTAGTGCATGTTCTATATGATAACTAATAGTCATTTAGCCATGCACCAGTATGAAATCAGTCAGCGAGCAAAAAAAAATCATCGATATTTACCAATATTTTTATACTATTAAGCTGACGTAATTAAAGCGACTTAGAAAAGAAAAACCGCTGAACCAGCTACACAAATGCCAGTCAACTAGTTTGAAACTGGAACTGGTGCTTTCCTAGTTCATATCTTATAACGAGACGTTATTACTATACCGTCTATGATCGTACTGTATATTCAACGACGTCTGTGATGATTCTATGGTTATGTCTGTCACATCTGTGGGAAGTGGGACAAATTTTGGCACGGGAGTATCCATTGAGTTATAAACTTATCAAAGATTTAAAAATGAAACAACACACAAACTTGATAATGACTAAACAATTGCAAGCTGAACTTGTCAAACTAAAGAAACGTATAGAGTATGACGAAAAATTACAACAACTAATTTCGACTTATCATTTGCTAACAAGAAATTTATGTTTTAAACGAGCAAGAGCTCTGTTCAATTGTTTTTTGAATGTGAATGTGAACTTATTGAAAAAAATTTATTTTCGTGTATTTCTTTAATTTATTTCTTATGTCATACTCAGGTACTGAGAGGGGCTCATCTGTCAGTATACTCTTCAACACTCCTTTTAGATTATATTTTACAAAAGTTAAATATTTTACCTTTTTCAATAACTTCATATTTAAGAGAAAAACCAGATGCATTATATGAGTTATCCGTATTAAATATAAGAAATAAATTATCATTTCGAATAAATAAATTTCTATTATCAATATCATAACCTGACCATTCATATAAAATCATTGCACGATTATTTAAATTTTGACCAAGATGTAATGTTAATGTATCATAATGTAATTCAGTATGAAAATTATTAATATATAAACGAATAAATGCATTTCGATGATATAAATGCCAACGACATATCTAAAAATAAATGAAATTTATTATTTATTTCAATATTTTTTTCTTACAATATTATTTGAATAATTTTTTGGATAATTTGGACTTGAAATAGTTCCATATGGATATGTATAAGTTAAATGAGAATTTTGAGATTTATATTCTAATGGATGACGAATTTCAGCATCGATAAGTAGTTCCTGAGATTTTAATATTGCAGTTGTGGCTACAAAAGAAAAGATCTTTTATAGAATATTTCTAGCTATCGAACGTCTTAAGTTTTATATGTTTTCATTATAAGTAGATTGAAATTAGACTATCAAGAAAATCTTCTGATGACGGAAGCTATTCAGATACCACAAATGCTTTTCGACCGAGACGATATACATTTTATAAGTACTACAGAAGTCTAAAATGGTTCGATTTTCCGGATCTTCGCTCTCAAGATATCGAAATGAATATATGTATATCAACAAAATTTGCTTGTACACATAAGCAAATTTCGAATATTGAATATCTCACAATATGGCATACTAGAGAAGTTATAATTTGCCCAATGAACTAATATAATTGAGAATTTTGTGTATGCAAAGTTTGAAGTCGAAAGTCGATTTTTCATGTGACAACAGCTTTCTGTTGAAAAATCCAGTAAAATTTCGATATCTCAAGAACGAAGGTTCGGAAAAGCAAATTCTTCTAGACTTTTCTATTACTTACTAGTACTCGTCAAATGACTATCGGTTCGGTCGAAAAGCTATTTGACATCTAGACAGGTTCCCTTGTGAGACACTAAAAAGCTCTAAATACCATGTTCTGTGCAGCACTCAGATGATCAGTAGACAATGAAAACTCTAAGGGCATATTTGTACAAATTGCTGTTTAGACAAGATATCAAATTTATAGTAATATTTTCCCTGAGGAGCCTTAATTTTTCAGTAAAATCATATTGTCAAAAAGTACATATACTCTATAAGCTTAATATATTTGAAAATATTATTTTATTTGAAAAATCGACTAAAAATTTGATATCTCAGCTAAATATCAACTTGCATGAATACCTTCTTAGGGATTTCGTGATCCTTTAAGTATTTTACAAAAAAAGATGGAGTCGGAAGTTTTTTTGACATCTCAAAAGATTCTCTCATAAAAGTTCACCTTGATAATCATCTTAACTAGAGATTTCAAACGTATTTTTTTTTCTATGTCACGAAAAATTATTTGAAAAAAAAAATCTAATTTTGATATTGTTTATTGATGATTTGCAAAATGTCAAAAATTTATATGAATTGTTATTAAATCATGTTGAGCATATAATGTTAAACAGATTATTGATGTTTTTATTCAAAATATCATTGTAAATGTCAAGTTACAATTGAATCCATTGTTCTTACTTAATTTGAACTTTAATCCGAAGAACAATTTAACGAAAGACAAAAATATTTTGTTTATCAAAATTCTTTCTGTTCGATATTTCTTATATGCAAATTTTAACTAAAGATTTGATACATTGAATTAATATTATGAGTTGCTTGTAAAGTTGACATTGTAAATGTTTGAAAGAGCTGTGAGTCCACATTTTCGTGGATCCGAATCTGGAAAGATCCACAGTTTTCTATAGTACTGTCTGGAAATTATAAAAACAAAATCGAGGCATGTGTGTTATTTGAAACATTATCTTATTTTATCTGTCATTACTTTCTTTCTATTTACAATCGAAAATAATTTTAAAAAAATGAAGAGAAACTTTAAAATCTTTCTTAGTTTTATCAAAAAAAACTATAGTATTAAATGTAGAATAATAATTAACTTTTATAAGATTTTAATATAAATTCTTACATTGATTGACTAGAAATATATAATCAATAATAAAACCTGAACCAGTAGTAGTTTCATCACTAATAAATTGAATCCATATAGATCTTGTTAAAATATCACCACGAAGTGGAATTAAACAAGGATTAGGTAATTTCGAACCTGAAAAACGAAACAATTTCGAATTATATTTTGATACATCAGGTATAGTTTCGCCAATAGATAATTCATCATGTCCATATTCAGTATCAAAATGACGAAATGTTAATAAAAGATGACGAAAATAATTTTTAGTTGATAAATTAAATGTCCATGTACATTCAATATTATTACTATATGATAAAAATATAATAGTACCACTAGTTTCAAGTAAATTATAATTGCATAAATATACAAAATATGGAAAAAATATAATAATAATAAAAAATAATATGCTGATATACATCTAAAGAAAAATATTATTATATCTATTTAAATATTTATTTATCCTTCAAAATAAAAATGATTATATCTACAAATAACATGACTGTAGTTTGAAATATATGGATGGATAAAAAGGAAGAAAATAAAAACAATCATTATAAACAACCTATTAATTACTTTTATTAAATAATGTTTATTGGTTGACTTGTGACATGTACATCAATCAGATTTAATAGGGATTAATATAAGAAGGACATTCTCCTGAGAAATACAGACAAATCAATACGAAGATATGATAATTATCTACGTAAATAACAGAAAAAGAAAAAAAAGTGAAGGTCGTGTACATATGTCTTAAGGGGGTGAGCTTGATGTATAACATAGTGAGCAATCGGCAGTTAATAAAGAGTGAAGAAAGGAGAAAGAGATGAAAATAGAGGATTATAGATAACAGGAAACAATAGTTTGGTACCAACGATGATAATGTTACTGATATGATCAAGCATAATCTAATAATGATGATGAAGGTTAGAAAAATAACTATGGAAACAAAAAGAACGATTGGTATGAGCTGATCTAGATGGATATATAGTATTCTCTTAAGCATATGTACAAGAAAACTAACAAAGGAAAAAAAAGAAAAATTGATACACTCTGTCAATAAAGCATTTCTTTGAAGTTCAAGGTTTTTATTAGAGAATAAAGCATATTAAATTTCATGTAGTCAGTGATCGATATAAAAAACCGCATTACTTGTGTGTAGTCAATATTAAACCGACTTTGAACTTGAATAATAGTTTAATTCAATGAGTCCTTGTGTCTATATTTACCTTAAAACAGACATTAAATAAACAATACCTTATTTAAACATAGAATGAACAAGAGAACAGAAAATTCTTTTTTCTTATAATAATATATATAAATATATTTACAAAAAATTACATTTCGTTCTTTAAAAATTTCAATATTAAGTTATATTCTATGCTATAAATCAATTCATTAAAAAATAAAAAGCATATCTACTTAATTATCTAAATGAATATATAACTATTACATATAAGACGTGATTCAATTCCAGCAGCATTTTCTTCTACGTGTAAGATTGTTTCTATATAAAAGAAATATCTAATCTATTTATATAAAGAAATAATACATTAGGGAAGTATTTTGTTTTTTCATATATCAAATTTACATATGCATTCTAAATTTCTACCCATTGTGTATATTTACTAGTAAACGGGAAATTTGTTTTACCCTATAGCATGCAAATCTATATACAGATTTACATAGATATGAATTAAATACATTTATAATATCAATAATCAGTAATACAGATGTATCTTATTTAACAATAAATCTTATATTCTTGATATACCTTTAATATACATCAATAAACAATAAATTAAAGCTTCTTTTTTTTTGTGTTAGATCAATAAAGAAAACAAAAATATTTTTCGTATGATATTATTATTCGAAATTTTTTGACTGTTATTTACTCACTATTAATCATCATGACTTAATACAGTGATAATAGTAGTAGATAATAATCATCAGTTAATAATATTCTAAAACTTGAGTTTATTTTCATTGTAAATTTAGTATTATTTATATAAATTGTGAAAATATTATAAATTCTAATACAATTATTATTGATATTGTAGACTATGACGTATAAGGGTCAAGAATCCCATATAACAATATATATAATATAGAAAATGATGACACAATAATAATAAAAATATAAGTATATTTTTTGTGTTGTTTTTCTTCGTCTTTGATTGTAATTATTCTTTCAAGTACACCAATTCATATAAAAAAAAAAGAAAAAAATATCGTCTAATGTGTCCTTTTTATTACATGAATAGATTTTTCTGTTCTGCTCTCGCAATCAACACTATGTGTTTTCATACATTCAGATAAAACACAACAAAAAATACGTCAAACAAGACGCCTACCGCACGAGGTGGTAAAGAAACTCAAAAAATGATGGATTTTCCTTTTCTTCAAGTCAATTCTTATCTAGAAAAAAAAAAAAATAATTTTTTTATTAGTTGATAGGATATTTTCTTCTCTTTCGAACTATGTATGATTCATATTTATCATATATTAATAAATAAAATAACCGCAACAAAAAGAAAAAAAGAGAAATATTCGTAGAAAAAATTTGTATTTTTTAATGATCTCATAAAAGTCCAAGTAACTACCGTTTTACAATGTCTTTTTAATAACTTTACAAAAAATGGAATTAATTGTTATTTAACAAAATATTTTTGATGATTTCATATAAAAATTACGAATTTATAACGTGAATATTTCTCTCACGTCATTTCATATACGAATGTGTGATAAAAATAAATCATACAGTGTTTGAAAGAGAAGAAAATTTCCTATCAACAACTGATAAAAAAAAAAATAATAATACTATTTTCGAAACATGTTTATCAAAGAGATATAAGGATCGACATTTTATGTCATTACTTTCACATCGTTGGTTAATATTTCTGAGAAGTATTACTATTGTTTATAATCATTTGACAGGAGATTTTTTTTTTTTTTGTTGTGAGAATATGATTGAAATTTAACACAAAATATATATAATTCTTTTTTTTTTCTTTTATTTTTGATTAATCATCAACTATTTGAATAGTATTCAAATACATCATCCATAAATATTTAGAAAAGAAAAAACCTTACGACACCTGGGATTTTCAAGGTGAATGAAATGAAATTTTCTACCTAAAACAATTTATGATCTAGGTAATCATAGAGAATTTGAAAAGTACACTTTTTTTTTTTGTAAGCATTTATAAGAGAAAAACTTTATAATGAATCAATGATTATGTTCTATACAAATATTGAATCGATTGTCGGATGAAATTTATTCAACATCATGTTATACATACATCATTCGATTATGGTAAAAGTTCTCTAATATAAATATCGTCGGGATCAGTCAAAAGCGCACGCTCTACAAAGGTGCTTATTATAGTTTCTTTTTTCTTCTGCAACTTATAAGTATTCAGTTGTCATCGCTTGCCGATTGCACAAGGTGATCTTTTTCTTTCTTCAAACAATTAATTGATTCAACTGTTTTTTTTTTTTTAATCAAAAATAGATTAACTCATGTTGATATGATTTTGTGTTACTAGCTGTTAATAATAAAAATGATGAAATATTACATGAAACACTTTTATTGTTGTCTAATATCGGATTTTTTTTTAAACATCGACAACCAGTCTATCATTTTGATTTGTTGTGTCATATAATTGTTTATCATAATGCAACAAACATATCATCACTTTTTTCTCATTATACACCATATGCTGTTTACATTATAGAAGTTCATGAAGCCAGAAATAAGTGCTCAATGCTCAGAATAAGAAGGTACTTATATTTGAGAGCGGCTCATTCCCTAGTGTAAAATTCACTTACAATGGAAACACCTCGGGTGATACCTCGCATTGAAAATGAGACAACCTTCATTGAACAAAGTCTATTGGCACTAGAAAAAAGCCTAGAAGGATTTTCTTCTATACGCTTGCCTTCTAGAGTTTTGGTCGTTTCATTGGAGGTTTTACCTTGGGTTACGATACTTATAATACAAATTTGAACAAACGAATTCTAACCTGAAACATTGTCTATAAACAGCTTTTGAAACTTCTAGACTTTTATTAGCGTCTCCATAGACCTTATCTAATAAATATTGTCTTATCTCAAACGTGAGATATGATCTGAGATAGTTCTCTTATCAGGCAGACTATAAACTGCCCAATACAAGAAGTTGCTTACATAGAGAAGCTTTACTATACTATATTTTTTAACTATAAATATCTATACTATACAAGTAAAATTCTTATAAAGATTTTACATGGTTTTTTTATTCTTTATATATTGAATGTTGTTTAAAATTTTTCCAAAAAACTTTGAAATAAAATTATTCATAACAAGTAAAGAAACTTATCGATTTATATCATTTGTCTGTATATGATATACTCTGTTTGGCAAATTTTCTTATAGAGAAATGCATTAGATTATGCCATCCATAGAAGAAAAAAGAATGGTTAATGCTTGATTAATATTCGAATAGATCATGAAAAATAAATATAAAATTACTTTTTTAGAATCTAAAAAACAAATTAACGGTTCATTTCTTTTTTTTAATGTGATTATCATAGTAGATGCATAATGTGTTAATAAGTGGAAAAAATGTTGTTAGGTGTAATATTTATTTTTAAATAGAATGTTGTCATTGATGTTAAGAAATGAATATGGTTTTTTTTTTGTTACCATTGTTTTCAATAATATCCATTTAATACTTTATCAAAAATAGATCAAATTTCTAAATTAATAATAGATGATAAGAAAAAAATAATCGTATCAATTTCGATACTTGTAATGCATATGAAAATCGTTCAAGATCATTTAGCAGAAAGAAAAAACAAACAATCGTGATCATTTTTATCTATTTATATAAGATGATATTTTATGTAAGAAAATTATTTTAGTAATATTATCAATAGGAAATGAATGAATGACAAGAATACTGATATGTAAATTTATGTATGAAATGTAATATTCAGAAATTCTTGTTTTTATTATTAAATGTCTTTCGATAAATACTGCTTGATAAAAATGATGGATGAAAGAAATGTATTATTGCATCGATAATTATGATAAATGTTTGCATAGAATTCGGATTTTTTCCATAATCTATAAAATTTCAAATTCTCTGAATTTTCCGCTTTTCAAATTTTCTGTATTGATATCAATAATTAGATATTAACATGCTTTTTTTGACTGTGAAATTTTATGAGTCTTTTTTTTCTTAAATAAAGAAAATGATGCAAAATTATATTATTACCATGACGATGTTTTAATGATATACTGCCTACCATCAGAAATCTTAATTTATTCACGTGATTCTAAATGTTTACCAATTTTTTTTTTTTTTTTTTTTGAAAAGATATTGTTCAAATATTTCTTGTCCGATCAATCATAATATCTGATATGTATTTTCATCAT